CCGGCGGAGATGCGGCTGCCTGCGCCAGCAGGCAAGGAGGAATCGCAGGTGTTGCTTGCGCCAGGTGGGCGGGTTTGAGGAATATATTTGGGCTGTTATGCATGGAAAGTGGCAGGGGTGTGTGAATGTGCACGTGCGCTCATGTGCGTGTGGATACAGGGCATAAAAGGAAACTGCAAACACAGAGGTTTCATGCTTGAACATGCTGGAGCTTGAATCAGGATCTTTTGTATGGGCACTAGGCATAAAGGCGTTTGTGGGTCTCCTCTTGGTTCATGTGTTTTGTTGCTCTGTTGCCGCCAATACAGTGTGCGTTGGCCAGCTGATAGCTGGGCATGCAATTTTGGAGTTTCGCGTTGGTGTTAGTGGACTGGCCAAGGAATCCATCAACACGTGGCCAGAAATCGTTGCAATGAACTTGGATGCTGATTCGACACTCAGGAGCCTCTGAATGCAGGGCGCATGCTTGCACACACACACACACACACACACACACACACACACACACACACACACACAAACACACACGCACGCACGCACGCACGCACGCACGCGCGCGAGTCCTTCAACACACGTGAAATCGCTTGCCTGTCGGTACCAATGCACAGGCACAAGCCGGTGCGGCGGCTGTGCTTCGGAAATCGGCTTGCCACTACCACAGGAGGAGCGGCCGCTGGGGCCGCCTCAGACGGAGGACCAAGGGCTGCTTCGAAGCGGTGCGTAGTGGGAATAATTAAAAAGGTGCAGGGGCCAAACCTGGTGTAGTGGGTCCGATGCGGCAGTGCAACAGGGTGGTTGGGGTGGGGATGGATGCTGTACCATCAGAGAGTTCTATCGACTGTCCAAGCGGTGCACGGCTCAAAAACTACATCACTCAAATGATCAGCTTGAATTTGATTATGGTGGTGCAGTCATTTTTTTCAAATGTACTGCACGATTTTGTGCATATTGGTGACATGTGCACAAAATCCGTGCAGTGTCTTGTTCCGCATGCAGCTGCACGCCGCAACGCTGAACGCGTGCTAGCAGTACCCTATGACAAAGACCCCCCCTCCCCCAACCACGTAAACGCCAGGCGCCCCCCAGCAGCGGCGGCATCGGCCAGCAGCGGCGTCAGCACCCCAGGTTGGCTTGCCCCCAGGAACTGGCGGGCAGGCGGCGGGGCTTGCAGGTGATGTGAAATGTGGAAAGGGCAGGGCACGATGGGGGTTCGGGGTGGACGTGGAGAGCGGCAGCGACGTCCAGGCTGGGGTGTTTTCAAGACACCAGCGCCAAGGTTGATGCAATTCAAGGGCTGTGACTGCTGGTAGACGGGCTGGACTCGCATCCGCCAGCTCTCTCCATACATGCGCCTTGACGTGAGGGCGCATCACCTTTCCTGCAGGAGCGCGCAGCTGTGAGCCGATGGCAGCGAAGGTTGCCCTGCCGCCGCCATCACCGGAGGAGCGGCCGCTGGGAACGCTGAGGGTGGAGCACATGGGGCTGCTCCGAAATGGTGCGTGCTGCAGAACAATTCTATGCGGATGTGCTTTGGTGGGGCTGATCTCCAGCAAGGCAGTACAACGGTCGGGGTTGTGGGTGGATGGGGTGACATCAGGGGAGGCTGCAACTCGTCTCACTCTTGCACCGCATCATCTAATCATGCATGTGTAGCCAGCAGATGGTTGATGTTGCTGTCCCAAAGCACCTTCAATTGTGCAACAAAAGGCACACCTGCGCTTTAATCTTGAAGTCGCGCAGTCTTTTTCTACCATCGTCTCCCCACAAATCTTTCCATTTCAACCAACAACATCCCAGGCAAGCCCGGACAGCAGCCAGCAGCAGCAGCGGCGGCGCCGTGCACTTGCTCGACACCAGCAGCTCCAGGGGCGAGGGCAGGCGGCAGCAGCGGCAACGAGGCGGGCGTCGGGCAAAGTACATGCCACGACCCACAGGCCCATCGCAGCAGCGCCCCGGCCCAGGGGAAGGGCGGCACAGGGCATGGCGGCCTGGGCGGCAGTGATGGCGGCACGTCGCTCTTCCGTGGCAAAGGCGCCGGCAGGATCGCAGCCCCGCCAGCAACGCGTGAAGCCGCAGCACTGGCGGCCCCTGGCGCAGCACCTCCTCCCCAGGGCGCTGCTGCTGAGCCAGCAGCAGCGGGGCCGAGCGGGCTGCAGGCTGATTGGCAGCCAGTTGCGCCAGCAGCGGGGGGGCCCAAAGGAGCTGCGGTGGGGTCAGAGGTGGCGGCGGAGCAGGAGGTGCCGAGCACAGGAACAGTCGGGCTGGCAGCCGAGCAGCCCACAGCCGCCTGCACAGTCAGCAATAGCGGCGGATCCGGCGCTGTGAGGGAGGAGCCAGCCGGTCGCCGCAGCTCTCGCCCTCTCAGCTCAGCTGTGCTGCTGGATGGCGGAGAGGAGGCGGCTGCAGCAGCGCCCATCACTGCAACCGGCCCCCCTGATGCGCCCGCACCCGCATACGTGCCGATGCCGCTCAGCGGTGACGGGGCAGGGCAGGTGCCCCCCTCTCAAGCGGCCGAGGGGGCAGCCGGGCGGCGCCCGCCCTTCACGGGCAAGACGGGCTCGGCGGAGGATGCAGCGGCAACCCCGCCGCTGCCTGGGGCGGGCGCGTCTGCGGGCGACAGCGCAAAGGTTGTCCTGGAGCAGCGTCTGGCCGATATGCTTCAGTTTTCCAGGCTGTCAGTCCTGAGCCACCACGACATGAACCGCGCCCAGCAGCTGGAGGCTGCGGTGCTGGCCAATCACGCTGCATTTGACTGCGAACTGCCGGTAGCTGGGGCGCCGGGCGGAGCTGGCAGCGGTTGGGCGGCGGTGCCACGGGAGCTGGTATTGCGTGTCAAAGCCACGGCTGCCCTGCTGCTGCACAGCTGCTGCCGGCTGGATGCTGCAGGTGGGTTCGGCAGCTGCTGCGTGGAGCATGAGGGAGCCGACGGAGTTGCCGGACAGCAGCCGCATGGGGGTTGGCCTCAACCAGCACCAGGGGTTTTAATCAGCCGCGATCGTGCAAGTGTGACCCACGCCCACAAACACTCATCGCTCAACCACAGCTACCCAAGAGCTGGTAGCCAAGGAGGGGCCATTGCACCCACTGGTGCAGGAGCGGCTGCGGCTGCTGGGGGAGGAGGGCGCCGGGCCACTTCTGCCGCTGAACGGGCCAGGTGCGTGTGCAAGAGACGGCGGTGCCGCTGCTTGGCGCGGTGCATGGCGGCTGTCCTGCTCCCAAAGGGCCAACTCAACGCGCATACGGCAGATGCATGCTGAGGCGTGCACAGCAAATGCACCATGCAAATTCCACGAGAACTGCCGGATGGCGTCTCGTTTCAAAACACCACAAACTGAACGTCAACCCCTTCGAACACGCAGATGCTGGCCTGTGGGCTGGCCTGGGGTTTGAGCGGTTTGGCCATGGCACAAGACGCGAGGCCGGCGCTATGGGGTCAACGAAGCTCCTCGAGGTGTGCCTGACCGACACGCTGCTGGACGGAGTGGCCAGCAGCCCAGCCAGCTCAAGTTCTGGGGCCGGCGCGGCGGCCTCGTCTGATGAAAGGCTGCCTGCCTATCTGAAGATAATCTTCCGCGGCTGCTCAGTCTTGTCTGACAAATCAGCGGCAGGCTTGTCCGCTGTGGCGGCCAACCTGGCGCGGCTGTGCTCTGCGACGAATGCAGCCGGAGTCGGGATCCCAGTCTACAGCGTCGGTGTCGTAGGAGGCCCCATGCTGCAAATACTGATGCACAAGGCGGATGGCACCCTGGCGGACTTGGCGCTCGGCAGCCTGCCGGCGCTGCCAGTGCTGGTGCCTGCGGCAGCAAAGGGTGATGCCCCCATCTTGATCACGCGCAGCACGCAGTGGCCGGCGGAAGACGAGCTGGCGCCGCTGCTTTGGAAGGCGTGGGCGCGGATGGAGGCGCTGCACTCCATGAACATCTACATGTCCGATGTGAAAGGTGAGGCTGTTGGAGCTGTGAGCGCACATTCACACTCTGTTTGTCACAATGTGCATATTCGCACACAGATAGACATGCTGGGACACACACTGCTGGATCTGTAGTGCTCGCACACGCAGTTGGGCGGGGGCCGTCGTAATTGTTCAGCTTGCGGGCGCACAGCGCTGTGCTGGCAGGCATGGTTCGAGGTGCGCGTTTCCTGCATGCAACGACGCTCTTGCCCTGGGCACACCTCATCTCCACTGCCCACAGCTGCAAACTTTCTTTGTATGCTGGATGAGGCCGGCCACCTGGTGAGGGCCGCTCGGCCAGCTGGGTACTTGCTGGGTTTATCTTGCTTCACAGACCAGCAACGCAGCACTAGTAAGGCGTCGGACCGGTTGTCGCGTGATTTGATTGCATAGCCTGTGGCACCTGCACCACTTGTGTTGGATCTGGGACCAACGGCCATGGTAACGGTCCCCCCCCACCACCACACCACCACCACCACCACCAACCACCACCACCAACCACCACCACCAATAGGCTGACCTGGTGATCGGCGACCTGGACGCCCTGGTGGCGCCATTCACTGGGGCGGGCAGCATCCTCGGGAGCCTGCAGTTCACGTGCATACCTCCGGAGCGCGCTGCTGCCGGTGCAGCGCGGATGGGGGCACCCGGCGGGTATGAAGATGATGTCTATGGTTTTGGTTGCATGGCCTTCGGCCTGGCAGTTGGCAGCTCGCACCCTGACCTTCTGCGCACTGTAGCAAACGACCCAGAGCCGGAACAACTGCGCAAAGTGGCGCTGCTGCTGACAGGCGAGGACTTGTCGGCAGCATTCTGCAACACGGTTTGTGCCTGCCTGCGGCGAAGCCGGTCAGCACGGCCAAGCGCAGAGCAGCTGGTGCACATGGAATTTATGCAGGCAGCAAGGGCAGCTGCTCAGACGCGTGCTTGCAGGGGAGGCGACCTGACAGCTGATGGCCGCACAAGCGGCCGTGGGTTTGGCATTGGAAACGGCAGCAGCAGCAGCAGCGCAGCCATTGGAGGCAGCAACAGGGCAGGGACCACCCATCCGGCGGCGATTCGGTTGGCAGGGCAGCAATCGCGGGCTGTGGAGCAGGCCAGAGCTGCCATGTCCCTCATGCTCGGCCAGCTAGAGGAGGCCGTGCGTGCAGGCAGCATGGAGGTACGCCGGAAGGTGTTGATGTGTGTCATCAAGCTGAAATCTTTTCTTGCAGAGATCATGGGCGCTGCGCAGTCTGGTCGCTTGGATGATTGGCTGGACGTCATGGGCATGCAGCTGCTTGACACCGCCAAGACCGCGCACACGCACATTTATTCGGTGTAACAGACTTGTGCCAGAATGCGTGTTTTCATGGCACGTGCGGGTTGAGCTCAACTTTGGGGCCCTGAATCAGAGCTTGGAGCACCACATCGTTGTGCCCCAACTTGGCCCTTGAAAGGTCTGCTTCAGCTGCCTAGTCAAGGGAGTCCCTGAAGCAGTCATGGCGACAAAAACAAGGCGCTGCTTTTTAAATTTGAACTGGGTGCAGTCTTTGAGTAAAAGTGGGTTGCTGGCTTTTCAACTTTATGTCATCCTTCTGTCTGGCCATAAAAAGGTTCCTGTCCCTCCCTCCCATCCTGATAATTTGCAAACGCCATATCTGCAGTCATGTGTTTGCGCAGCTGCTGATGGTGCGGCACTCAAAAAAAGAGGAAGGAGAATGATGCTGCGCAACTGAGATAACGCGGAATGATGAGCTTCTTCACCACGGTCCCCAAGTCTTCACCACGCCTGTTTCGTCTGAATTGATCAAAACAAGCAGCACCACTATGTGGGCAGGGTCTGGCCGTAAAAAGGGTGCCTTGATTATGTGCAAAGCGCGAGCGTCACGCATGCGTGACGCTGCGCAGCCACATCCACAAAGACACATTTGCAGCCAAATTTGCGCACGCAGTGAGCATAGACGGAGGGTGGACTGCGGCCATGCAATGCAACCCAATGCATTGCAGTCACGAGAAATCAAGGAGCGAGCTGGTTGCGCGTGATAACATCACATTACTGAACGTCTGCCCAAAAACAAAAAAAGCGCACGCGCACGCACACGCACGCAGGTGGCAGGTGCAGTATCTTGCTTGGCGCCACCACTGCCCAATCATTGGCTGGCGATGCGGCCTCGCGCACAGGCTCGAGCCTGTGCGCTCACAAGGGCCCAGGGGGGGGAAGGTGCGCCGGTGCACATGCGATGACGGCACGCGCGCGGTGGCTGCCCCGCCGCGGCACCCTCACTTGCAAGCGCAGCCGGCTTTCAGACAGTCATCAGCTCCTGCACGCACAGCGCCTGCATCCTCTGCACCGCGGCCTCCACCTGATCGGGTCCCGCGCCCGCAGGCAGCGCCTGCAGCTCTGGTGGCTTGCTCACGTTGAGCCCCTCCAGCTGCTTGACTGCCTCATCGATGTCCGCTGCCGCAAGCTGCCTCCTCTGCTCAGGGAAGGATTGATTGGTCAGACAGCATGATCAGTTGTTGAGCGAGGTGGCTGGGGTTTGGGTGCAGTAGCCGCCTTGCACTGAGGAGTGGGCAGCTCGTGCGAGGCACTCGCGGGACCCAAGGATCCAAACTCTGAAATGTCCAGAACCTCCAACAATGTCAGGCGTTCAATGCGGCCTTGGCAAAGACGCAAGCGCCTACGTAATACCATACAGCTGCAGCAGTGGCAGCCATGCCACTGACAGCTGCAGTCGCACCTGGGTGACCACCTCCGCCTTGGCCAGCGCAAGCAGCACGATCATCCGCGTGCCCCACTCGTCCACCACGGTGATCACAGACCGCGTTGTGTGGCCGTACTCTGCGGGGAGGGCGACAAATGCACAGACACCACATACACTCTGTGAGACACATTAATAGCCTTGATCGTGCGTGTGAGCGGCGCGTATGCGTTGGTTGGCGGCGAATGAGTGGGTGGACATTGCTTGCTTACATGCTAGTCACTGACGATGCATTGCAACAAACACAGACCAAGACGGGTTGTCCTAACATTTCATACCCAGCCTCTGCATTCAGGTCTGCCAAAACCTGCCTCAAAACATCTGCAACACCAGCTGCCAGCCACCCTACTTCCACCCAGCACCATCACCAACCTTTTTGCACCGGCACGTTCTTTGCCGCCCCCTCAAGGTTGGCGCGCAGCGACACCATGGTCCGCAGGACGCCGATGACCGCGTCGACGCTGGCCTGCTCCAGGTCTGCCTCTGTGATGGAGAAAGACGACTTGTTGCTGGAGATCACGTAGGCGGCCAGCAGCAAATCGAGCACATCGTTGCCCGGCTCCGCGACGTGCTCGACGACGTGCCAACAGTCGTTGACAAGCACGATGAACTTTGAGCGAAAGATCTGCCGGTCTGCAGGCCTTGTAAGCGCAAAAGGCTCCGCTTGGATGTAGATCACGGCCTCCGACATGGTGGTGATGTTGTTATGGGTTGGATGTGATGTAGGCGATGACAAGTAAGCAAGTGTCGTGAATATCAATTGAATTCTGAGGGGGTAACAGGATTGCGGGTCGATTAGTGCCCCTTGAGCTGGTCCAAGGTCTGGCGCACCTGTGTCATCGCTCCGAGGCTGTGACCAGTTGCAGGGGCGGCGAGGAAAGGTAAGTTGGATCGGACATGTCATGAATCTCATGGCGTGTTGAGGTGTGCTCAGGCGCGGCAGCGGCAGCCGCGCGGTGAGCACTCGGGAGGGCAGACACAGTGGTGCTGTGAGCGAGTGCACTACTGGGGGGGGGGGGGGACGAGCCCCTGCTGACGACGAAGCTTACGCCAGAAGACAGCCCCTCGGATGTTGGCAACAGCGTTCAAACACAATATTGCGCAGGCCTGAACCTGGACTCAGCAGGTGTTGGCCGCAGATGTTTGCTCAACGGCAGGGCCTCCCCCGCAACATTACACAGCCATGGCTGCAGCCGCCTGCTACATTTGTGCATCGATGCATTGCGCATCAAACAGACATCTGTGACGGAGACTGAGCCTGACTTGGCGCCCTGAAACCTGTTGTAGACCTGGGCGTCAAACACCAGATTTGCAACAGGAGGGAAATGTTCCCGCCGCCCCCAAAAATCACCTGATATTGCTGTAGAATGTCTGGCAGAGAGGCACGCATGGTTGGAACAATGAAATTAATACACACGCACAGCTGCCAAGGCGTTGCGGGCGCGCTTGGCTTCACAAGCAAAGTATAGCAGATAAAATATCCATTGCAATGCGGGTGGTTCTATTCACAAAGATACTGCCAGATTGCCAATAACGTGTCGCCGCATACGAAGTCCGGTGCCCAAACCTGCCAGCTGGTGGCTGGCGCGGCTGCCGCAGCCGCGGGGTGGCCCCGCCTGCTGCCGTGGTTTCCCACTGAAAGCCAGCGATCCGTGGTAATCCAAGCTCCGTCCGATGGAATTTCAATAATCCTCAGTCAGCATCTCTGGCAAGCGGCTGCAGGCCCAATGCTGGGCAGCTGCCCCGCCCGCAGAAGGATTCTTGCGGCCTGCATGCTGGCAATTTGGTGTCACTGCCCCCTGTCTCAGCAACACAGGGGCCCCTGCCCCGGGGTTCCACGCGTGTTGCTGATAACTTGCTGCAACTGCTCACCCACCCTCCGTGACTGTGCCGCATCACAAAGCCCAGCCAGATTGCGAAGCCATTGAAACCGGCTCAGGACTTGCAAAAACAACCCTAACCCTTAAAACCTGGACCCTCAACCCTCCCTTTTTTCTGTCTCTCCCTCGCACACATGTTGGCTGTGTCGGCGGCCGAGGCAGTGTGAATCTCAAATCAAACCACTACTTCCCCTGCTGCTGAGCTGACGTGGCAAGGCGGTGTTGATGACCACCAGCAGTGCCAGTGTAATAGGGAGGCCGGCAGCTACCGTAACACCCAGCCAGTGCGCGGCACACGCACACGCTGTGCATGCAGCCCCAGCCAGGCGCTCCATCGAGGCCCGGGGGCGCTGGCTGCGACAAGCCTCCGGAATTTCTGCTCTCTGTATTCATACACACACACTGTTGATGGCAGACTGTGAGATTATCAAGAATTTGACGCAAATCAGATACAGCTGTGTGCCTGTATCTACCGTACGACATGGGGGACGGCTGTGCTGCGGGAGCTAGTGTTGCGTACGGTACTTGGTTTGCAATTGATATCGTAATAAGCTTCATCCAGGTTTATGAATATAGGCACCACATGCAAGCAGGGACCTGCAATCTCTGCACCATTGCGCAACGCCGCGGGGAACATCTTGCAATAATCGCTGCCGTCAACGGGGCTGACATGCATGGCCTGATGTGATGCCGGCGCGCACCATCTCTCACACTGGGTCTCTCCCCCTTGCCTCGCATGCACACAGGGAAGTTCAGCCGTAGCCGGCGGAATGACCCCTCTGATACTTCTCATTATTGCTGCCCTGTCTGCTCAACTGGAATTGAATCAGTGTCTGCTGATTTTCTATTGGACTGCCCCAAGTACGAATCAGTGCGTGGAGAGCTGTGGCGGCGACTGGAGGACGAGATGGCGCCTGATTGCTGGCATATGATGCAGCAGATGCAGATTGAAGAGAAAGCTTACAAGTTGCTTGATTTTAATTTTCTTGGTGGCTCTGTGCTTGCTGATATTGTTGCCCCTTATGTGTATGCTTGCTGGCAGATCCGTTGGAAGGTTGGGAATGAGGAGGTCCGCTCTGATGATGAGCGCGAGGCCGATGGCAGTGGTGCTATGGTATGAGTAACTTATCTATCTATCTATCACTCACACCTGCGGCATCTGCTGCACGCACGTGGCCGCCAGTCGCTCGATGGCGGCATTGACCTCGGCTGCATCGGTTGTGTCGTCGATGCCCTCCGGCTCCGCCGGGCGGGCCACGTCCAGCCCCTCCAGCCGCTGCAGCGCCGCGTTGACGTGGGGCGCCGCCAGTACGCCCCCGTTTGGCTGTTTTGGTGGGTGGACAAGTTGGATAGTGCGTGCCAGTAGGACACACTGGGCTAGCAGCGCTGTCACGGACAGCTGCTTCACCAGCAGGAGCACCAGGTGGGCTCAGGATAAGCCCTCCTTCAACAGCACCGAAGTCCAGCACAAACCTGGCTCTGGCATGCATTGTTATATATTGTGTGGGGCATGCAGCCCCTCAGAGGCTGGGATTGAAGCATCGGTTTGCACGGCTTCGGAGCCAAGCTGTACTCACCTGGAGCATCGCCTTCTGCTGCCCGAGGGCCAACAGCACCACCATGCGCACCCCCCATTCATCGATGATGTGCGCCATCACGATTGGCATGTGGCCTGTCAATGTGCAAATCGCAAGTGGGGTGCAGATGAGTACGCACAAAGCCGCTGCCTCAAAGGCCACCTTGAACAGGGCAAGGAGTTGCCTCATGACAAGATGACGCACATGCCTTGATATGTTGCAACATACATATCATTGCCAGCAGTTGGCGATGTTGCCTGCTTACACATCACGAATGTGTAAACACACAGATCAGTTGAATACACGGGTTCAATATCCAAGCTTAAAGCCAATCGGGACGAAGAATTGGTGGCAGAAGTCGAATGGGCTTGGCCACAGGTGGCAGACAGGACGAAATGCGGTGCATTCACCTGCCGGGCGCGCCAACAGCGCCGCCAGCTGCAGCAGCTCGCCCCGCATCATGAGCATCAGCCGGAGGCTGGAGATGATCACATCTACTTTGGATGCCAGGATATTATCCGTAGTGAAGATAAAGCACCGTCGCTGATCGCCCACAAGTTGAGGACGAGGTCCATCGACGCCTCGGACATGGGCGTGTTCTGCGGAAGGTAATGAAGTCCGCGATAGCATCCGTCCATGATATCCATGCACAGTATTATGTAGTGCCGCCGCTCTTGCGGGCTGAGAGGGGTGTTGTTCAGGGCTTGCTCGTGCGTGATGATCATGGGTAATGGCGCCAATTCGTTGCTGCTTCTGAATCGAGAAAGTTGAAGCCCGAGCTGGTAGCTCGCTTTGAAGCGCCACAACACGAACCCCGCGGCAATTTCCCTTGCATGCATCGGATATCCAAGGGTCGCAAACCTGTGCGCCCCGGCGATTCAACCAGGGCATGATACATGCATACTCCTTTACACTTTGCCAGTGTCAGCGGTGCCCACCCATTGGCAAGTCCGAGGGTTGGCCGCAAGTTCACCTGCCAAAGCCGGGCCAAAACCACCTCCTGTCTTCACACCTCAAACGGCGCGTTTCATTTGTTTGCCTTGAGCCCACACCACTCATGGATGGAGAGCGTGCACAGATCGGTGCTCGCGTCGCGGCAAGGGCCGAGTCCACAAGGTAACGATTCATGCCAGCCGTGGTCTCAGGTCGGCGCAGGAGAAAAGCAAGGATGTTGCCATCATCAATTCTCCCAAGATATTGCCAGCGCTTGCAGGACTGCCATCTAGAGAGCAGTACGCACACACACAATATGCTGACCGTCAGCACGTAGGCGCAAGTCACCTGCAGCTGCTGTGGTGGGGTGGCCCAAATGACAACCACAAACTGCCGAGATCCAGGGCCTGCTACGCACATCATCCCAGAACAAAAGCTGCTGCACAAGAAATAAAGTGCATGCAAATGCACGTACATGCCAACCGTCAAGTTTTCAAAGTTGCTGATGACGGTGTTGTTGTTGCTGCCAGTATGGTACTTCCGCCTGCTTCCGGAAGCTTGAGCATACAAAGCCTCAGCGGCAGCCTCTGCAATCAATAAATTAGGTTCCTCAAGGACTGAAACCATAGGGCATCACATCCGTGTCAGCAAGCCGCCGCAACTAGGGTCACACACTTGTTTTGTGCCCGTACAGCACAGAGACAACCGCCTGCCGCTTGCTGCACAGAGGTTTTAGTGTGCCCCAAGGGTTATGGTGGGTCAGGCACGGGCAGGCACACCCCATCCGCTTTTTGCGGCTCTTGCTGCTTGCCAATGCTCGTCGTGTTGAATTACCATGCAGCCAGCCTCTGCAACCGTCGCCCGGCGAGAGACTGTTCGTGTCTCATGGCAAGTACATTGATCCGTATACAAGGTATTCGATTTCACCTGTTGGTGTCTCGACTGGCTTATTAGAAAATGATGAGCTTCAGGCATTTTACCGTGATGACGCATACTGCACGTCAGCGTTAAGCGAAGCGCATTGCTCTGCACGCAGAAATATGTGATTGCTGTACTAAAAGGCACCGCTGCTTTCACACGATAGAGATCGCGTGTTTGCTGCACAGGTCAGCTTCGTTAGGGCCGCTGGCTGGGTGGGCGTGCCCCCTCGTGATTTCAGCAATATCACTGGGCGTAGAGCTCCCGACGCCTGATGGGGCGTGCTGCCCTTGTTTGCCGCTCGCACTCGCACCTCACGCACTGCTGCGCCGCCGTTGCACCGCCTTTCAACATTCGACACCTTTCAACCATGGACAATCCAGCAGGAATGTACAAAATGATGCATCAGGCTTTCGCTGCATACATGCTTCTGGCCCTCGGTGCGGGGGTGGCACTCTCCCCATGCCTCGCGGCTGCCGCTGCGCCTCCGGGCGCGTGCTGCGGCCGGTGGAGCGTGCGTGCGGCGCCATGGCAGGCGGCTATGGAAGACGGGGCCCTGGACGATATGTCCCAGCTTCTGGCGCTTCACGCGCCGCGCCGCATGCTGAACGACCTCGCCGCAGCCTCGGCCCCTGCAGCCTCAGCCGCTGTCAGTACACCAGCTTCGGTGTCCGTGCCGCTGCTGCTGCCGCCGCCGCCGCCGCCGCCGCCGCCGCCGCCCCCGCCGCCGCCGTCGCCGGCACCACCGCCAGCGCCTCAAGAGCAAGGGCGCCCCATGGCGCTGCCCCCGCAGGTGTGATGCCTCTGGCGCGCTCCGGCAAACGGTGCAGGGGCCGTGCAGACGGGTTGCAGTGCGCCCTGGAAGCGGCGCGCCGCCGTCCTCTCTGTCGCTGAACCGCGCTTCTTCTCCGCCAAGCGCGCTGCCTCCGGGTCTCACCTCATGCCACGCCCACCCCTTCAATCTTCCAGGTGTACTTGATCACATTCTCCATGTTGATCATGTTGATGACGGCCCTCGGCGCCTGCCACTGCTGGCGCCTATGCCGCCTCGCGCAGCGGTTTGAGACGCGCCTGGGGCAGCCCTCGGCCGCCGCCACCTGGCAAGCGGGCAAGCTATCCACGCCGGCAGATGTGATCGAGGCGCTGCCGGTGCTGCAGTACGCGTCGGTGCGCGACGCGGCGCGCGCCAGGCGGCGCGCTGGAGCCAGCGACACGGGCGGAGGCAGCGGCGCCCCAGCGGCTGCTTCGGCTGACGACCTTGCAGCGGGGCGGGACAGCCCAGGCGCGGATGCTGCCCCTGCAGAGCACGCTGGGACACCTGCGCTGCCGAACGCAGGCGCTGCGGCGCCCAACGCAGATGCGCAGCTCCTGGATCGACCGCTCTCCTGTTCCGCGGCTTCCCCGGCTGCGGACGAGAACCAGCAGCAGCAGGCGCGGCGAACGCAGCAAGAAACGGGTGCACAATCTGCGTCGGCGCCGGGCGCGTTTGAGGATGAGCCGTGTGCGGTGTGTTGTGACGATTTTGAGGAGGAGCAGCTCGTCAAGCAGCTGCCCTGCGGTGAGCGGTGGGGGCCGCCTGGCTTGGGCTCAGCTGTTGTCTGCATGCTCTGATTGCTCAGAGGATGGTGCGGTTGCCCAGCACGTCAGCCCTGTCGGCACACTGTGCCTTGAGACCGGGCGTGCTTTCTGCTCCTTCACTCATGTCGCCTGGTGCTGCTCGCTGCTGCCGCCTGCACTCAAGTTCAGCTTGTTCGCACAAAGACAACCGTCCCCTGTGTTGACTCCCCCCCCTTCCAAAAAACCCACCAAACCCCAGGCCACTTTTTCCACCCAGCCTGCGTGGATGAATGGCTCAAGATTGATCACATCTGCCCCGTGTGCCGCGCCGAGGTCTGGGCCCCGCCACCGGAAATCCTGGCTGCGCCTCCGCCCATGTTTCTCCCCCCCTCTTTTGGAGCGTGGGGTGTGTCGGATGCCCACGGTCGGCCTGCGGGCAGCATCATTGGCGGCCCGCGCCGCCAGCCAACGCTGGCGATTTTGCAGCGTGGCCAGGGCGGCGGCGGGCGCGGCGGCGGCAGCGGTGGCGGCCTGGAGATGCCGTTTGCGTCGCGGGACCCTCCTTCCTTTGGGCCGCGCCTTCCGGGGGGCCGCCGGTCGGGGCGCTAGGGCTACCAGGCCCAGGTGCAGCCCTTGCGCTTGGTTGCTCCTGATTGAGTGCCCTGGCCCGTGCGCACGGCTTGTTTGCTGCGCAACGGCTTGCGCGGCGCCGGGCGCGGGGCTCGGTGGTGTTGTGCGTGTGTGTGTGTATGGGGGGGGGGGTCAAAGGCTTGTTGTGCATGCGTTGAAATCGAGCCTTGCGCTACCCGTTTTTACGGGCGGCTGCTTTGGTATTGGGCCAAAACCGGGGCTGCATGTGGTGATGTCGTGTCCTGCCACACTTCCTGCTTCGAAGGATCTCCTTGGGAGAGGCAGCTTGATGCCATACTGCTGGCGTCGGCGCCCATTCATCCACCCCCAAGCGCCTCATCGCGGCCCCTCCTGCTCCGCCGTGCGGCCGCCTGGAGCAACGGCCTCACTCTCCTCCGCGCCAGAGCTTGCAGCCACATTCCTGTGCATAGCACCCATGCACAGGCATTTGTGCAGATATGTATAACATAACAGAGCCAAGCTACCCACGCGTGCTGCCCAGCGACCTTTGTTGTGTCCTCCTCCGACACCGCGTTCAGTGCCTTTTGCCATAGTGCACTGCAACGCGGGGCGCACGCTGTCCTTTTGCTCTCGTGCGTGCGCACTCGTATGCACAATGCACAATTGACTGTTGTGGGCTGACACAAAGGGGAATGCAATCTAATAGCCACCCTGCATGGCACAGCACGCCCTGTCACAGGCGGGCTGGTCCAAATCCGCAGGCCACCTGCTCCGCTGTCAAACACCGAGACGCCCCGTACTGCGCTGCCCTTTATCATGCATATGCTGCCCGACAATCCTGCGACCACAATGCCATGCCTCAAATCAACCCCGGGCCTGTGTTGACCACCCTCTTTCTTCTGGAAGCCACGCACGCGCAGCTCAACGCACCAACAGAGCATTCATCATCGGCGCGTGTAAACACTGTCGTTACTCTGTATGACAGCACACACACAGCAGTGCAACACGATCCCAGCAATCACGTGCACCTATCTGCCGCCAGTTCTGCCGGCACCAACCCCGCCGGGCAGCTCCGCGGCAGCCGTGCACCTCCACTCCCACCACGTCACCAGCCTCCCGCCGCGCGCTGTCTCCTGGGTTTGAAACGGCCCTTGAGGCAGGCAGGGCAGCGACGCGGTGGCGCGGTGCACCGTGTAGAGCGTGGTCAGGCCAGGGTAGGAGGGTGACTGCAGGCGTTCTGAAGAGCAGGAGTAGCTGTCCTCATCCAGCACCAGCTGCAAATGCAGGTGGCAGGGGCGTGGCAGTGGAGCGCATCGTGTGTAGGGGTTGATATGGTTCTTGTCTGGTCAGAGGGGGGCGTTTTTGTTAGTGTGGGATACTGGGCTGCCTCAACTTTGCACCTGCAGAACTGCCACATGCGGACGAATGCGGCAGGCCGCTGACGCCGGTCAATCCCTCCTCACACCAAGGATGCCTGACTGGGCCGCTGGCACCCTGCTCGAAATCGTGCGCCCGCGCACCTGCTCGTGCCAGCCGTCTGCCAGCGCGGACCCGAGCTCCTCCGCCACCGCCCGCACCGCACCCTCGCGCCAGCCCTCCCCGGCCAGCAGCTTCTCAGAGAGCGGCAGGCCCCTCTCACGCTCGCGGCCGTCGGGCAGCCACTGGCGCGCCTCCGTCAGCACCTGGATGTGCGGGGCCCCCGCGGCCCGGGGGCGGGGGGTGAATGGACGGGTGCTGTGAGCACTTCGCGGCTGCGAGCACAGCGACTGCATAATCCTGCTGCAACACGATCAGGCTGCCGGGATAGCTGTCCCCGCACATGACCAAGTGCATTTGTAAGCAAGATCAGGCGCATGCAGACTCGGAAACAGCGTGCGTCACTGGTGCCGCACAAAGGGAAGCTGCCCACCTCACCCATGATGTTGGTCACCAACAGGGTGACGACGGACACCGACCTGGCAGGTGTCCCCTCCACCAGCTGCAGGGTACTCTCCCCCTTGACCACCTTGCAGGTGCACGGGTGCGTGGAGAGGCAGGCCGGAGGTCAAGTTTAAATCATGTATGCTCAGTCGAGCGCGTTCAGCACCAGGTTGTGGGGGTGCGTGGCGTTTAGTCTCCTGCGCATCTGCAAGCAAAAGCGTGTGGTCCTGGAGAGCGTACTGGCTCAGCCCGTTGAAGCACTGCTTGCTTTACCTCATCAAAGAGGTCTGCGATCGATTTGGCGCTGCCGCGGCCGTAGTTGTCGGTCGGAACGCCGAGGGACGCCTGATCAGTGGCGCGTGCAAACAGAATTGGGATGGCGCGCGCAAGCGGAGTTGTGTTTTTTGCGCTTGTGAGCTGCGCCAGCAATGGGGGTTCAGAACAGGCTCAAGTTTTGCCATATGCAGGTTTCTCATATCGTGTTGCGGCCAGCCACGCAGCATTCCTGCTGGCCTTGTCGCAGGCAACTCGCCAGGCCCCCCACATGCCCGCACCAGCCACGCCTCGAGCGACTCAGCGCCATCAAACAGTAGCGCCGCCATTGGCTTATTGCACGCGACACTGCAGGCGCAGCGCCTCAACCGCAGCGCGGGCACCGCTCGTGCTTGTGTCGGGCTCCAGATCGGCCCGGCCTGGTGACGCAGCAGCTGCCGTGCTGCAAGCATCCGGGATAGGTCCGCCCTAGTACCTATGCAAACACGGCTCATAAACAACGCTGTTCATTGCGATTTGACATTGTCTGGCACACTGCAAGTCTTGTGAGTGCAAGATCAGGCTCGGCTGGAATGTCCACGCAGTTATTAGGTTAGGAATTAGGTCGCATAAGGACGAGCTGATTCTGCGTGTGTGAATCGTTGCGGATTTAATGTGCAGTGGCCTTGGGTGCTGCTTTTGTCAGGCCTGGCAGCTCGAGGAGCGCTTGGCGCAGTGATGCAGGCGGCGCCCGCCCTGGCCTCTCAGGGACCACGGGCGCTGTTGTGGCCTCTGGCACCGCAGCCAGATGTCGTCCGAGCGGCTCAGAAGGTACTGCGCGCCTTCGCATCCTGCAGCGCAGTGACTTTGTCAGCCTGCGCCCCCAGCGCTGCGTCAGCAATCCCACTGTACTTACCCCAGCTGGCGTAATTTCCGCCCGCAGGATGGGCTGTACCTGGAGCAGCTGCTGGACGCTGTGCAAGAGGCAGTGATGCGGACGCTGGGGCCCATCCCCGCGATGCAGTACGCCAGGCGAGCCCAGGGCCGCGTAGCCGCAGAGGGGCGGGAGCGTACGCTTGTACGAGGCGGTGTGCAGGCGGTCAACCATGGGCGTGAAGCAGGCGGGTATGATTGGACGTGAAACAGCGGCAGCCTGCCGCGGCCCTCGTCACTGGCTGCGCCCAAGGGCCTGTGCTGAAAACGACCCACTAAACCTGCCAGACGTCCTCCGCGCGCCCGCTGCATCCAGGGAGTGCCGCCTGGTGGCGTCCGCGCTGTACTACCTCCTGACCACCGGCGCAGGCATGCAGACCCTGGGGGAGGAGTATTGCGACATCCTGCAGATGGCCGGCCGCCCGCCCCTGACCATCAGTCAGGCGGCGGCCGGCGCCGCTGCAGCCGTTGCAGGCCCGCCCTCGCGGTCTCTGCCCGGCGTGCCCGTTTTCGACGCGCGGGGCCCCGTCGCGCTCGCGGCGCGCGTGGCGCTGGCGCTGCTCCAGGCCGGTGGCCCGTACATCGCCGAGCGCGTCGCGGCGGCGCTGGGCAGGGCACGCGCCGGCGAGGGGTGGGGCGGCGCCGGAGACGCGGGATCGGTGGGCATATTTGGCGGTAGCACCGCAGATGCCGGATTAGATGGCGAGCAGCAGAGCTGCGCGGGACGCGGCAGCAGCGGAGCCGTCGGCAGCGGCGATGAAGGCAGCGAGCGGCATGCGGCGGGCGGTGCCGAGGGTGGCGGGCGCCTCTCCCGCTGGCAATCCTGGTTTGCAAGGCCGCTGGGGCTGGCGCGCACGCTGCAGCAGCGGGCATCGCGGTCGAACGCACGCGGGGAGCCGGGCGGCTGGCGGGCCCGGCTCACGAGCAGCCCCGTCCTGGCGCGCGCCCGCGGCGCGGCCGCCGCGCACTGGCCGCAGCTGTGCGAGGCGGGGGCGTTTGTGGGGCGCGCGCACCTGGCGCTGTTCTACCTGTACGGCACCTACTACCACTGGGAGAAGCGGCTGCTGGGGGTCACATACACCTCCACCTCCCCCTTCCTGGAGCGGCGCGCGTCGTACAAGGTGGGGGCTGCACGCGCCGCGCATCCGAGGTGCCTGCGCCCCTTGCTGGCTTGCACCCGGCGCGGCAGTTGCGGCGGCACCACCTGGCCGCACGCAGGCCACATACATCCTCCGCCTACTGTCTGCCCCTGTCGCTGCGCTCACGCCCCTGCTACCATGCATGTTCACCCCTGCAGGTTTTGGGGTGGATGCTGGTGGCGCAGCTCGCCATATCGGCAGCCTCACAGGCAGTGCCGCACCTGCAGCTCCTGGGGCACAAGGCGGCAGCCGCGGCAGGCACGCCTGCGGAGGGCACGGCAGCAGTGGCGGAGGCGCGGCAGGGTGAGCACGCTGTGCTGCTGCCCGACCCGGGGCCGGCGATTGCAGCTGGGATCAGTGCCGCGGGAACAGCTGCGGCGGCAGGGAGGGGAGACGGCGGCGCTGCTGCTGTGGCAGGCGGCGGCAGCAAGCAGCGCGGCGTGATCATGGGCGCCGCGAAGCAGTGCCCACTGTGCCTATCGCCGCGCAGCAACCCGGCGTGCACGCCGTGCGGGCACGTGTTTTGCTGGCACTGCATCGCGCAGTGGTGCAACGAGAAGCCAGAGTGCCCGCTGTGCCGCGCCGCCGTCATCCCGCCGCAGCTGGTGTGCGTGTACCATTCAGAGTTTTGAGGCGCCGCTAGGGGGCGCTCGTCGACACAGCGCACCTCCATTGCCGTTCATGTACATGTGGTGTTTGCAGAGAGCTCACATTGGGTTTGTTTTATGCAGCTACACCAGTGCCCTGCTAGTACCTGCTGAACCCGATCTCTTTTCCCCGGCTGGATCCCTGGCCCAACACATCGTTTCCACTGTACTCCTATGCAATCTTCACAGCAATTTTTTGCCCATACGTGTGCGTTGTATGCAAAGCTGCCACCAAGCATCAAGGTGCGTAGCCTTTTGTAAGGTTGACAGCGCGTACACAAGGTGATGTATACCTCACACCGCCACTCCTGCATCGCCTGCAGGCACAAGGTTTGTTAAAAAGTGCGTGATGCAATCTGTGAAGTACTATATCACGTATACTCGCTCTGCTGCGCCGCAGGCTTGTGCCACATTTCATGCCGGTCAAACGTCAGTCAAGCAGTGGGCCTCCCTCCTTGCCACCCACAGCAGTACCCCAGGCAGGATCGATAACACTGGTAAGATTTTTTACGGCAGCTGCATGGCGCAAGAGGGTCGCAAACCCCAGCTAGAAGGCGCTGTTGTGTCACCCAAGCTGACAAGTGTTGTCACTGCTCTCACCCGTGTCGGTCTGCCGCACGCGTACAAGCCATTGCAAATTGGGCTGAATTGGATACTTGGCGCGCCATAGTAACAAAGCATCGATCATCCACCTGGATAGGGCCGATAGCCGCTGGGCCCTGTTTTGTTCGGCCTGGCGGCCTCCGCAGATCGCTAGCACAAGCGCGTGGAACAAGGAGCAATGTCGACAGACCCGAACATAGATGTTGTCAATATTGGGCCGCTGCTTGCGGCGGCCTGCGAGCAACTCGAGGTCGGCGAGATGGTGCAGAGCAGCACGTTCAGCCTATTTGAGGCCATGAGCGCCGTGGAGGTCGGAAACCCCAAGATGGACGCCGGGGCGCGGCCAAAGGTCGACAAGGTGCCACTGCAGGAGCGACCGTTGCCGCTCGACCTCAGCAAAGCGCAGCTGGTATCCTGGATGGACCACCTGCTCGCGCTCGAGGCCACTTGGCACGTCGGCGGCGCGCTGGCGCAGACTGTGTACAGCTCGCTGCACATGATGCAGATACCCAGGTGCTCGTGCGGGCGAGCAGTGCGTGAAGGGAGACGCCCTCGGTCAACCAAGGGTTGAGCCGTGACAGTGTGGCCACTCTGCTTGCAATCCTAGCAATCTTGTGCTCCATGCTTCGGCGCTCACTGCGCTCACTGCGCTGCGGATGGGCCTCACTCCCGCCGTTGCCTCTTGTTTCTGCTGTGCCCCTCACACGCCCTCTGTCACCCCCCACAATCCCCGTCGCCAGGCTCGCTACCAACCCCACGATGGCCGCCTACGCGCGCGTGCTGCAAGCGCTGTGCCAGGAGGTCAATGCTCTAGTGCTGCAGGGCTGCGTCTGTGAGGTGTGCATTCAGGGCAAAGGGGCAGCTTGAGCAGGATGGACGGAGAGGCAGCGACCCGTCGAGGGCGACTGATTTTTGCACGGCACCCGCCTGCATTATCCGCAGCGCCACTCCTGTAATCTCACCTCTACGGAGTCAAACCCTGGCCCCGCCCCAGGAGGAGGACTTCATGTGCCACTCAACAGGGCTGCCGCTGGAGGAGGACGCGGAAGCCGCGGAGAAGCTGCTGGCAGCGCTGGCACTGGCAGCGGACGCACATGATGCGCGCTCGTCGGGGGCCAAGGCGGTGAGCTTGCCCGGGGCCCGTGACTTCTGGGGCACGATGCGCAGGGTCGCTGGCACAGCCCCATACAGGCTGGCGCATTTATAAACGATAGCAACCACTTTTACAAATTGAGCGAACCTATCCACACCCGCGCGCCTCAAATTGCATTCTTGTAGCCACGCTCACCGCCGTGCTCGTCACACCCGCCCGTGACGGCCCTCCGTCCCGCAATGCGACGCCGCACCCCCTTGTCTCCTCCAGGCCGACGACCTGGACGCCCGGCTGTCTGCTGCGCTGCTCAGCCGCCTGCAGCTGCGCAAGCTGCTGTACCAGGCGGTGGTGCGCATCCGCCAGCGCAGCAAGCAGGTGAGGCGCCGGCCGCGGCTGGCTGGTCTGGGTGCAGCATCTGGGGTGGCGCGCGAGTGGGGTTCTGCGGCCAGGGCTGATGATAGGCGGTCACTCAGGCATGCCGCGAGGCGGTGGTTTGACGTTAACAGGCGTGTTTGCAAGCGCTCCTAGCGGTCTGCCAGCGCCGGAGCACTTGCAGGAGGTTGCTGCCCACTTCAGCTGATTTCAATGCAATTGCGCCACCTGTGATCTGAGCGCTCGGTCAGACACGCCACTACGAACCTTGTTTTCTGCAGGACCTGGACGCAGCCCACAAGCTGTTGGTCAAGGCGGCCAGCGAGCTGGCGGCGGCGCGTTCTGGAGCTGGGTTGGGGGCAGTTGCGGGAGAGGGAAGCGAGGAGGCCTGGGCTGCCCTAGGGTTTGACCCGGCGCTCAACAGCCACCTGGCGCCGCCGTCGCCGCCGCGTGTGGTCAAGGTGGGCAAACTGATAAGTGCAGAGGGGCTGGGGGAAATTAGGCATGTGTGGACATCATGTGTGCTGCGATTGTGTGAGTATGTGTTCGTGCGTGAGTGCGTGCGTGCGTTCGTGCATGCCTGCCTGTGTGTGTGTGTGTGTGTGTGTGTGTGTGTGCGTGCGTGCGTGCGCGCGCGCGCGCGCGTTTGTGTGTGAGTGTGTGTGCGTGCGTGCATGCGTGTGCGAAAGTGTGTAGATCAGTGGAGCCATAAGAGGCAAGCCTGCAAGCACTCCAAACCTTTGGCCGTAACGAATACACACAAGCCACATGTGTCATCTCTTTGTGTTAGCTGCTGCTCAGGGGTCTCTGTTTGGGGGTGACCTATCATCCCTCCATCACGGCGCGCCGTGGCGGTGTGGCGCAGAAGTTCTCCTTTCACCCAGCCCGGCCGCTCCTGCCCCCCCCCCACCCACCACTAGGCCGTGACCCGTGACGAGGCCTTCTCTTATTTCGAGTCGCTCATTGAACAGCTCATGCGCGCCTGCCGCGTCACGTCAGTGAGCGAGTGAGTAAGCGCTGGAATGAGCAGCGGCATTCCCGCTGAGGCCACGTGCCCGTGGCAGAGGCAGTGTCTTGTGCTTTCAGCTGCAGCGACCTGGTCTCCTTGGGCCCCAGCACCCCCTTGGAGTACATCAAAAGCGAAGGGTGTGTCTGTTGAGTATGTGACACTACATGCAGTGTGGTGCGCAGCCTACACCTGCCTCCACCTTGGGCCCCCCTCCATATGTAGCCTGGCATTAACCTTGTGCCTGCAGCTCTGCCTGCAGCTCAACCTAGTTGCACCCACCTACTTCCCCTCCTCCTACTCCCGTCCCCCAGCTTCCCGACCCTGGAGCAGTTTGTCACAGCCTTCAGCGCCGCCCGCCCCTGCGCCGTCGCGCGCGCCGCCCTGCACTTCCAGCTCGCCCAGCAGGCCACCCTCGACCAGGCCGCCGCCGCCGCGGGCGCGCCGCCTGCGCCGCCGCCGATGACCGCCGCGCAGCAGCCGTGGGCGCCGTCACCGCAGATGCTGCGCGCCGCGACGAGCTGCCTGGCGCCGGGCGCGGAGCTGGGGGACGACGCGGAGCTCTTCACGGAGCAGGCGCTCATCGCGGTGGGCAACTGGGTGCAGGCCGTCCTGCTCAACCCCGCGCGCCACCGGCGGCGCCTGCGGCGCGGGCTGGAGGACTGGTGCCACCTGTACCAGCACGCGGTCAACGCGGACTGCAGCGAGGCGTTTGGCTCGGCCGCGACCGCGGCCGGCTGGGGGTGGCGCGGGGCAGCCGAGTACCCGGGGCCGCTGGGGCCGCTGAGCGCGTGGGTTGAGCGGCAGACGGCGCGGGTGGTGGCGGCGCACCTGTTGATGGGGTTTGAGCTGGAGCTGTACGAGCCGCGCGACTACGCCATGCTGTACTGGTGAGTGTGTGGGGGTGCACGTGCACGCGCGTGCGCGCGCGCGCGTGTGTTTGTGTGTGTGTGTGTGTGTGTGTGTGTGTGTGTGTGTGTGTGTGTGTGTGTGTGTGTGTGCGAGCGCGCGCGCGCACACGCGTGCATGCGTGTGTGTGTGGGGGGAGCGTGTGTGGGGGGGAGGGGATTGATGGGAGGCGGGGCAAACAAAGGAGGCAAACCAGGCTTGGAGAGAGCTGTCACAGGCGCGCGGGCCGGTCGTCACGCAAAGGTTGGGGCCCTTCGTTGAAGGGCTGCGGGATTTGAGCAGGGCGACGGGCCATGCAGGGACGGGCGCTTCTGGGACCAGCTAGTGGTGCGAAAGCACCCCCCGTCCCGCGTCTCGTTCCTTGACCGACGCGTGTACCACCCACCCCATGACCAGGTACATGGACTACCTGAATGGTGTCATAGAGCACGACAGCCGCCTGCTTGCGTCCTCGCGCCCCAGCCCCGAGGCCGCCGCCAAGGCCGCCACGGCAGGCACCAAGGGCAAACGGCTGCAGGGCAAGGGCCCAAAAGGCCTCGCGGCGCCCAAGGGCCTTGGCAGCAGCACCAGCAGCGGCACCAGCGGCGGGACCGGCGGCGGCACACAGGCGGCGGCGGCGGTGGTGCCGAGCTTGGCGGCGGTGCGGGCTGCGTTTGCATCGGACCAGATGCAGATCGCGCAGGCGGGGGCTACGCGGCAGCTGTGCCAGGGCATGATGCACATGTGCGTCGCGCTTTCCGCGGCCGGCGTGATGGCGCAGCCGCCGCTGCCGTTTAACGGGCAGCGGGAGCGGTTCGAGCAGCGGTTCGGGTCCCTGCACATCCTGACGCGGCCGGAGCCGCTGGGGTACGAGCAGTACGCAGCGTCGGTGGACATGAAGGGTGCTTCACCCTCAGCGGTGCTGGGCGCTGCGAGCGCCTCTCTGGCCAAGGTGCGGCGCTCTTGCGGCAGCGCTGCGAGGGGCGCCTGCAACAGGGCGCGACGAGTGCGAGGGGCGAGCAGTCAGCTCGCATGAATTGTTGTGTCTGCGGTGGTTTGGCTCTGCTTTTACGGCCTCCCCTCATTGCATCTTTGGTTGCAGAGTAATGAGGGCCGCTTTTTTGTCGCCTGCCTGGGTGTTAGACCTCTTGATTTACGTCGCGAGCCCCCCCAGCCCTACCCAATCACTGACAACTCGCTCTGCCTCCCATACCCTGCTGCCCCACCCAATCAAAACACTTGTGTTGGGTCCCCTGTTCCAGGCCTCGCAAATGTTCAAGGCGCTGGCGCTGGTGTGGCACCCGGATCATGGCAAAGACGACGCGCACGCCAGGGATTGCGGTGCCCTGGAGCGCGCGGCGGCGCAGAACCGCCTTGCCTGCATGGTTGCAGAGCGCGCGGCGGCGGCGGGGACACTGTTGGACCTGTCGTTTGAGTTCCACCACAGGCACTTCCCCGGGGCAGTGCTGAAAAGCAAAAAGGCGTGACGCAGCGGTTGCCCCTCAGCAGCAGCAGCAGCAGCAGCAGCAGCAGCAGCAGTCACTGCAGCAGGTCACAGCTTGGGGGTTTTGTCATGTGGTGCGGCATTAATGTGGATTGATGCCGCACCGGCATCAATCCACATTGATGCCGCATACACGACCATTTTTTCCTGCCCTGATTTCATGTATCACGCTCAAAGGTGGCTGATGGTGACAGGCGCAAGTGGAGTGCGTTGCAGCTGTTTTCTGCCGCAGTCTGCTGTCATGACGTGCGGCCGTGATGATGCATCGTCGATATGGGATACTGCAGGCTGAGTAACATACCACACGCTTGATGAGATCTGGCAACGCGACTGTGAGTTGATGTTGCATGTGGGTAAGGAGGTCACCGGCCAAAGGGCATAGGCAAGGTCGTCAGCGACCAGGGTCGCCACAGCCCCCTGTTTTAGACACGCCAGCACGCGCTACAAAAATTGAAAGCACGACTGGTGTTTGGCATATACAACACATTCACTGCCAAGCATCCTCGACGAGCCTCCTTGCATTACTCCGCAAAATATCCTCTCGCCCGCGATCTGTGCGGAGATCGCCTGACTGCTGCAGTGCGACCCACAACCGTTGCCATTCTTAGATACCTACATTGAATCTGGCAGGCCGCTGGTCGCGCTTTGATCAACACCTGCAGTGCCACTTAGAGGTGCCTCTGAAATGGGCCCACTGGAGTTGCCGGCCGGAAATCGGAAGCACCGGAGAACAGTGGCACTGTTGGCTGAGGTGTGCACGCGGGCGTGGACACGGGTGCGGAACCGTATCACGGTTGCTCTGGGATGGCCCCTTGCTTGGCACGCCCACAGCACGCGGACCAGGCATAAACATATTAAATGTTGGTATCTTCTTCTACTGCGCCCGGTACCAGGCTGAAGAGGACGCCTGCTGGGTCTGCCTAGGCGGCCCCGAGCTGCCCTTGCGGCCGCTGGTGCACCCCTGCTGGTGCCCAAGCTGGTGTCACGCCAGCTGCATCGCGCGATGGCAGCTGCAGTCGGCAGGCACAAGGTAGGCAAGGCAAGACGCTTGGCGCATTGTGGTGTCGGTGGTCAGCCATGCTCGCCAGAGCATTGGGTGGAATAACCCCAGCACGTAACCTCCCACGTCCTGCTTTGCCATGCAGCCGCGAGCTATATTGTGACTTTTGCCATCAGCGGTTGCCGGACTGGAGGAAGGTGATGACGCCTGACAGTGCCTCGGCGGAGCCGACGGCCGCACCGGCCATTATGAACGTCAACTTTGACCAACAGACCTACAGCTTCACGGTCAGTGTGGAGCAATGTGCGTACATGAGCTTTTGTTGGATGGACGCGACTCATCTTGATTAGGTTGGAGCCGGTGCGCCTGCTGTAAATCCCCCAGTTTGGTTATGGGGGTGCCCCCTTTCTTGCTTTATCCCGAAAAAAAAATGTCAAAGCAGCTCGCCTGTCTGCTGCCCCTTTCGGTGCTGCCCCTTCCAGGTGCTCCCTGGCCCAGAGGGCTACCGCCAGTTCACCCAGGCCATCCGTAGGGCCTTCCACCTGCCAGAAGACAGCGAACTCAACATCACGTTCACCTGTGATGAGCCCAACTCAGGTGCGCAGGGAATCACAAGGATTGTGACCAGCCCGGCATCATGGAATGGGTGAACGTGCCACGTGAAACACAGAGTGGACAGAGTGCTCTGGATGTGTTATTTGTGCAGTCCTTACAAATAATGGCATGTACCCCGCAGGCTCTCTCCTTACGCTGTCGGGGCCGGGAGCGTACGATGCGGCTGTGCACTGCGCAGCTGTCAGCGCCTCTCGCCGCAGCTCGCTGAGCAGTTGTGACGAAGCCAGCATCGGTGACGACAGTGGCGGCGGCGATGGTGGCGGCGGCAGCGATGGTGGCAGCGGTGGCGGTGATGGTGGTGGCGATCGTGTTGAGGTGGCGCAGCAGCAGGGTCCTACCAGCAACGGCCCCCGCCCCTGCCCACCCCTTCTGCGGGCGCCTCGCGAGAACAGTAGTGCTGCGCTGCTAGATGGTGGTGACGCCGCGGTGTCGCAAGAGGTGCAGGTGCTTGAGCCGGCCACCGCAGGTGCAGCGCAGCGCGACTCTGCCACCAGCTTAGTGCGACGGCTGCGGGGTGTCTTGGATGACTTATTAACATCAAGATGATGTTGCAACCTGCCGTTTGTTGTCGGGGTGCCTTCGCAGGGCGCAATAGCTTTATAATGTGCGGAGCAAGAATGCTTATGCAAGTCGAATGTCGAGGCGTGGTCGGGCTGCTAGCGCATTTCTCAGCCAAGCCCTGAGGGGCTACCTTTTCCAGTGCTAGAGCTCAGAATCAGGTGCCATGCGCACGCAAATTTGTAGTCCAAGGGACCTAGCTGTGTCCTGCGCGTACAACAACATGTGCGTTGAGATGTCGTATAGGCAGTGCAACATCTGGTTCGACCAGGTCGAGGGCCATGATGTTGCGCCTCTGCATGAATTGGTATGCGTGCACCATGCGTATGTTTCCTTGACAGGGCCCTTTCAGTGCTCGCCCCTATCAATCCTGAGTTTGGGTTCGTAGCCTCTTATTGCAATTGCAATGTCGTGCCAGCACCTGGTGTGCATCCAGCTAGTAAACAGCTTGCTTGATGACAGCGCTTGGGCATATTTCAGAGCGGCGCGATGCTTACGTATGGTAAGATGGTGTTGTCGCTCCATCCCCATTACAAGAACCTCACGCAAGTCATTGCAAGACTTTTGCCACACACACACACCTTGGGGTACCCTGAGGACCGGTGAATGCGTGGGAGCACAGTGAGTAACCAACAAGACTGTTCGTGACGCGTGAATGGCAAGTAACACTTTTGCTTTGACTATACAGTGAACACAATTCTGCATGCCTCTTGATGCAATGTAATTACACCATGGTGGCCACCAGTCAGGTGGTGTGATATTACACATCATTGATAGA